CAATTAACCCCTTTTTTTGCATTTACTGATGACACAGAACTTTAAGAGAAAAGTAGTAAAGATATATCAAAATCTTTCACTGGATTAGAAGACGCATGACTACCAGCAGGGCTGGAAGTTAACAACCAAAAACAAAATAAATGGCTATGATAAGAGACGAACAGTTAATTGAAGCCATTAAAATTAGAGACAAGAGTTTTGAAAAGTAAATCATTTACATTTTCTAGAATCTTTATTATATCAAAGAATCGAATTACTAACAGAAATAACTAAGAGGATATCGGCCGGAAACAGGACATACTTCAGTAGCCATACAATAAAAAAAAAGTTTTAAAAAAACACCAAAAGTCTAAAACATTATTTATAAAGTTGTATTGAGGACCAGTTTTAACATTTGTAAGTGAAACTTTGACCCTAACAAAAAACGGCAAAAAAGCTATTAAACACATGGGAGAGAAAAGTTCTCATGAAATATATGGACAAACAAAGGATGAATATGGTTGGTAAATAAGAATCAACCAGGAATGCACAATCTTTATCAGGATACTAGGCTAGTAGTAGAAATAAAAAAGAGAAGTCTACTCTGGGCTATACTCTTAGAGAGACTGCTAAATGACAGAGACGTGAAGATGTTACATCTCCAAAACCCTAGAGGAAAACTTTAGATGGATGGATGATGTGGATGATGTGGTTGATGTAGAGAAAAATTTCTACATTAGCTTGGAATCAAAGCAGCGAGGAAGGCTAGAGGCCTACATGGGACCTATCGCCACAGGGATCAACGGATAGTTATGTTTTCTTTACATCAAAACAGGCACGTTTGACATTCTAGGTAAACAAGGTTTGTCGTTGTATCTATGTAGTCTATATAAATTGATTTTACTTTTTTATGTTTTCATTAAAGTCCATTATAAGGTTTGCTCTCCCCTCAATCCCTTTCAATAAAGTTCATGGGGTGGAATCATCATTGTATCTGTTTTGTGACAAAATATTTCTTATTGGTTTTGCATGCAATTTTTACGATAAAAAAATATAATGTCTGCAACAAAGGACTATATTAAGTGCTTGTTATATTGCTCGTTAATTCCTGAGGAGTTTCTATTTATTACATGTATATATATATATTTATATATGTGTGTGTATATATATATATATATATATATCTAGTTAAAAGAAGCATTAAACAGCAATGTTAAACCTTTTAAAAAGTTCATTTTTTTCGCGCTGGTGATGCAATTTTTAATTAATTGCTGTTTCAAATATACTTAATACTTTATCTCGAGATATCATTATAATTCATTGCATTCTTTAAAAAAATATATATATAATATAAAAAAAAATTAATATTTATAGTGTACAGCTTAAAGATTCAATCTCTATGGTCTACTTTGCAATTTTATGTTGTGTATATTTATAAGTAATTTACGAGTCACTTCAGTGTTTTTGTGTAAGGAAATTATATCGAGTCTTTCTTGATTGTTTCCGACGCATCATTCAGTAGCCAGAGCATGGCAGATATAAGTACACAGATAGTTAAACTGCATAGATTAATTCTAAGTAAATAATTTTGTACACCCCAGGTAGGAATTTGGCACTGAAGGCCACCCCATCAATAATAGATGTGCCAGCCAGCACCAGCAGGATCAAGAAATTGATGGCGATAATTCACGATGGGTTATCTAGTCAGATAGAATGCTTCACTTTAAGTCATGATTACATGAATACAATGCAGATGAAGCTTCGAGTTAATCGTTCAGTGGCCCTAGTTCAGCTTCATATTCGTAAGTTTATTCAAGTTGTCCCAGCTACAATAGAACTTTTTTTTTTTTTAAGGAGGACATCCGCGGATACAAAACCATAAGAATTTTCTTTTTCAATTTGTGAAGCGTCTAAGCCAATATGAAGAAAGATGGTTTAATCATGACCAACATGAAGAATGATGGTTTAATCATGATAAGGACATTTTTAAATAATTACCCATTTAATTCCTAACTGCTGATCGACTCAAATCAATTTATCAAAATATTTGTATCTCTACAGGAAAAACGAATATTTTCCACACCAAAAATACAACTACTGTCATTTTTTAAATTTTTAAAAATAAATTTTAATACTTAAATTGAAGCATCTTTTTGGAGACTGACTAAGTGACATAGTTATGGACGACACGAAAATATAAACACACTACATGTCAAAATCAATTCTTGTGACAGCAGCATATTAAATAAAAGTTATATTGATAACGCTAAAAAACACACACACCACAATTAACTTGAGAAATTAGTTGTATGTTACATGAGATAGAATAAAATCTAAACGTTACTGAGAAAATATAATCTGATAATATCTGATAATATAATAATAAAAAAAAAATAACTGATAACAAAATTCTGATTTAACTAAGACTATATTCATAATGTAAGTCAGAATGTAGTCATACAAATATAACTTATAAATTATGGCTAAATTGAATTAATTAAATTAAGAATATAATCATAATATTACTGAGAACATAATCTTAAATTAACTGATAATATAATCATAATGTATATTGGAATATAGAGATAAGGGAATATTATAATGGAAAGTTAACGAGAATACAATACTGAATTAATTAACAGTAAGATCATAATGCAATTTAGAATATCTACACAGCAATATCAATCGAATATAATAATTACATATTTTGTGGGGGGTTTTTGTTGTTGTTGTTGTTTTTAAATATCTGTGAAATATATTTCTAATTCTTTTTATTTAAAATGAAGTTTTTAAAAAAATATATATTTCAAATCTTACTTTCTTAAACAGATCCAGACCAACGCGAATCCTACAAGGTCAATGTAAAACTTTTTGAGGCCCATAATCCACTCACTTCTCAGTTCGAATCTCCAGTACAAAATAATCAGAGAATAATCTACATGACTTTTCCGTCTAGGCCGTTCATTTCGGGGCTAGAACTGCACATTGCCCAGGGTTCTCTTGTCGTTTGCGAATTGCAAATCTTCGGAGGTGATACAAAAGTTCAATATCTTTTAAACTAAGAATTTCACTTACAAATTAATATATATATATATATATATATATAGTTTACATTTGTAATATCTATATTTATAGAGAAAAATAAAGTTATATATATATATATATAATTTTATATTTGTAATATCTATATATATAGAGAAAAATAAATATATTATATATATATATATATATATATATATATATATATATATGTATATATATATATAGATATATATATATATCTTAAACAAATTGAAATATTTTAAATTATTCTTTTAAATCGTCAGATTGTCCACCCCCAAATTATGGCGTCGACTGTGAGAATGTTTGTCCGATGTCATGTTTAAACAGATCATGTAGCCAGGATGGAACATGTCTTCAATGTTATGGAGGAAGGAAGGGCCAGTTTTGTACTGAAGGTAACAAGGATTAATGACACGCAACCTTGTCATGCGTCCTGTTTTATGTGGAATCGCTCCTGTTTAACAAAGCTGTAATACTATTAATCAGTTTGTTATTTTGTCCCGGTTTAAAATCACACGATAAAAAACAAAAATATAATATTTTTCTCTCCATGCGAGATAGATTCGTATGGTCGCAACGTCATTATCAAATGTAATACATATTTATATATTGTGGAGAGCCCTAAACTTGGTAGGCGACGTAGGCAGTGCAGTGGTGGGTGGAATGTTCAAATTCCGAAAATTGACCAGCTGTCGTATGTTGTCAGAATGTGTCTCCATCTTCAAAAATCTAATACAGTAATGTCTCGAACTGTTGCAATGCTATGATTTGGAAGCCGTCATGGATTAGAAGGAATCGCCAATGTCTTGTACCAGTCATCAAACATGCCAATAAATGACTTTTTTTTTTAGATTGTTGTTCTTCCGTCGAATTCGACAAGGACCATCGAATCATCCGGTTAGGGGCGGGCGGGGGGGGGGGGGGGAGGGATTACGGGGAGCTCTTAGGTGACTTATTAGACCGATCCT